ATTGTTTTTCTAATTCTGTGAAGAATGTCACTGGAATTCTGATGAGGCTTGCATTGACTCTGTAGGTCACATTTGGCAACATGGCCATTTTAACAATATTAATTGTACCAATCTGTGAATGTAGGAAGCATTTCCATCTTCTAGTGTCTTATTCAGTTTCTTGATGTAGTGTTTTTAAACTTTCATTATATATGTATTTCACCTCTTAGGTTAGGTTGAAAGGTGGTTTTGTTTTAAAGCTATTTGAATAAATTGTTGTCCTGATTTCTTTCAGCTAGTTTATTATTAGTGCATAGAAAAGCTGTTGGTTTTTAAATGTGTATACTGCTACTTTCCTGAATTTGGTAATCAGCTCTAAAAATCTTTTGGTGGAATCTTTAGAGTAGAATCTTTAAGATCTTATAAGTATAGCATCAAATAATCTGCAAATAAGAATAATTTGATTTTTTCCCTTTCTATTTGTATCACTTTTATTTATTTCTCTTATCTAATTACTGTAGCTAAAATTTCAAATACTACAATGAATAGGACTGTCAAGAGTTGACATCTTTGCCTCATTCCTGATTTTAGAGGAAATGAAAGGTTTTTCCCCCAAATTGGGGAAAACCCTGATGCTTACTCTGAGTTTACTGTAGGTAGCCTTTGGTAAGTTGAGAAACCATCTTTTTATACCTAGTTTCTGCAGGGCTTTGATCATGAAGCGTGCTGAAATTTGTCAAAATCTTTTTTATACATCAATTGAGATGATTGTGTAGTTTTATCCTTGATTCTGTTTATGAATTGATTCGCACTTACTGATTTGCAGATGCTGAGTCATGCTTGCATTTCTGGAGTGAAACCAACTTAATATGGTGTATGATCCTTCCAATGTATTGTTGAATTCAGTTTGCCAGTATTTTACTACAGGCTTTTTCATCTTCATCAAGATACTGGCCTGTAGCTTTCTTTTTTAGTTGTATCTTTATCTTCTTTTAGTATCAGGGAGATTGATGTTGGCCTCATAAAATGAGTTTGGAAGTGTTCCTTTTCTATTTTGTGGATTAGCTTGAGAAGCACTGGTAGTGATAGTTCTTCTTTACAGGTTGGTAAAATTCATCAGTGAACCTGGCTGGGCCTCAGTTTCTATTACTATTTTAATCTTGTTGTGTGTTATTGATCATTTAGACTTTTTATAACCTCTTGGTTCAATTTTGGTAAGTCATATAGGCCCAGAAGCTTATCCGTCTGGTTCTGGTATATTTTATTTCCATTTTTGTTTGATTTTAGGAATTTTTAAATTGTCTTCCAGGTTTTTTAATGACCCTTGATCATTCAAAAGTGATCATCCAGCCTCCATGTGTTTGTATAGTTTCTCTTTCTGTTTCATTCCATTATGGTCTGGTAAGATGCAAGAAATTATTTCAATATTTTTGTACTTCATAGGACTTCCTTTGTGTCCCTAAAATGTGATCTATTTTGGGAAACATTCCTTGAACTACTAAAAAGTACATGTATCGTGTAGTCATTGGATGGAATGCTTTGTAGCTGTCTGCTAACCTTATTTGATCTATGGCATAGTTTAATTCTGATGTTTCTTTTTTTGATTTTTTAAAATCTGGATAACTTACCTGTTGATGACAGTGGAGTCTTGGATTCACCTACTGCTATTGTTTTGGAACTGGTCTGTCCCTTTATGTCAAGCAGTGTTTGTTTTATGAAACTGAGCACCCCAATGTTTAGCACATATGTTTTTACAATTATTATGCCTTCTCAATGTATTGTTACTTTTATTCATAGGTAGTAAAAATAATTGCTGTCTCATTAATTTTGAAATCCACTCATTAATCGCTCTCATCTTGAAGTCCGCTTTGTCAGATGTGAGTAGAGCCCCCCTGCTTGTCAGATTCCGTTTGCAGGGAATCTTGTTTACCATTTTTTTACTTTCAGCCTGCATGTCTTTGTTGACCCCACGGGCAGAAGAGAGTTGGATCTTGTTTTTTTAACTCAGTCTGCCAGTCTTTGTCTCTTAATTGCAGAATTAAAACCATTTACAGTCAATTATTATTGAAAGACATGCACTTAATTCCTGGCTTTTTATTTTTTTGTTTGTTTGTTGTCTTGCTTGCTTTTATACCAAGAATTGACCTTGTGCCAGGCAAAAATTCTGTATTTTGTTTTGTTTCTAATGTTTGATTTTTCCTAATCCCCAGTAGGCAATCTACTCTTCCTCTTCTGTGTGTATCATTCCTTTAATTATGTTATGCATTGCTGGCTTAGTGATCATGAATTTCTTTACTTTATGCTCATCTTTGAAGTTCTTTATTTCTCCTTCAGTTCGGAAGGACAGCTTTGGTGATCATATCTGAGGTTCTGGAATGAATTCTGTGTGCTCCTCACCTTTAGAATTTCTGTATAGAAGCTTGCAGTTATTTCAGTGGGTTTGCCTCTACATATCAATTGGCTCTTCTGTCTTGCATTCAGTATTCTTTTTCTTGTTCTCTTGACATTTTAACTATAATGTCATGTGGATAGGTTTTTTTCTGGTCATACCTTTTTTGGGGTACCAAATTCTTCCTGTACCTGAATGTTCATATTTTTCCTAGGATAGGGTAAGTGTTATTATTTCATTGAGTGTTTTTCTGTGCCATTAGTCTGAGTCTTGGCACCCTTTTTCTAGACCAAAATTTCATAAGTTGACATTTTAAGTATGTTCCTGGTTCTTAGATGTTTTATTTATAATTTACTGTTTCTTTACTAATGTTTAAATATAATAATTCATCAGCCTTGTGTTCAAGCCTTGAAATTCTTCCTTTTGCTGGATTGAGTACGTTGGTAAGAGTTTTCACTGAGTCTTTATTTGACTTCTTACACTTCCCCCCATGATTTGTGTTTGGTTCTTCATCGAAGAATTTTTTGAATTGTTCCTTCCTATTCTGCATTATCTTCCTTAATTCATTCACACATTAGTTTTATCTTTGAAGTCATTAATCATTAAAAAATCAGAATTTTTAAGTTTTTCCAGCATTTCATCCACTTCAGTGTCTGTGTTCAGAGGAGCCATGTTGCTTTGTCTTCGCATACTTCTTGTTTCTCTGTTAAGGTTTGTGCCTTTATCTGGATGTAGTTCTCCACATTTATGTTAAGGGCCTAGTGTCCAGACTCCTTTGAGTGCTTGATCTCCAGCCACCAGAGGAGAAAACTACACAAATGATAATAACCCAAAGAGAAAGTAGATATTGATGTACAGTAATACCAGTTAAAAGCACTAACTGAATCACCATTTATAATAGGAAAAGCAACAGTAATGATACAGAGTTGAGCAAAAAGTTAAAATTTGATAAAAGTTAAAAAATAATAATGATAAAGTAATTATAGAAATGGAGGGGCAGGGAAAGAAAAATGAAAGAAGCAGAATATTTAAAAAGAAGAGAATATAAAAGGGGTAAAGTGATGAAGTGAAATGAAACTACAATTAAAGAATTTTAAAAGTAGATAAAATTAGGTAAAAGTAACAGGAAAAACAACAAGCAGAGAAAGAAAGAAAAAAGAAAAATGAAAAAAAAAAGTCCCCAAACTTTCTCTACGTCAAGGTGGTTCATGTGGAGAAGCTTTCTTTTCTGCATGTATAGTATTGTAATCTACCAGCTATGGAGGAAGATTGGTGAGCTGCACGGGGCCCTGCTCTGTTTCCAAACCCACTGACACGCTTTTTGTGAGTGCTGAGTCCTGCTCTGCCGTTCCTGCTAGGTGGGGCCAGTTAATGACACATTGTCTGCCCCGAGGCTGTGTTCACTCTAGAGGCTTCAGGGGTTTGTGACCTTCTGTAGATCCCCAGCCACTGTATTCCCAAATAACTTGGTCAGTAGGTGAGTAAATGGTTCTCACTTGCTCCAGCAAGTAAACCCAGAGATGTGGCCAACATCCAGGCAGAGGCGTAGCTCTGAAATCCTGGGCAGGTGGGGAAAGCTTAACTACTGAGTTCTGTGCTGGAAGGAGACCGCAAGGAAAGCCAGCCAGTTTGCGGAACGTGACCCTGGAAGTTTCAGACCCAGTCCCCTCAGAAAGCCACACAGCACAGAGGACAGGAACTGCGTCCTCCACAGCCTGCGCTCCCAGCTGCTTAAACTTCTCGGGAGGTCTGTGCCACCGCTGCCTGTCTCCCCAGTGTCACTCCGGGTCACTGGGATGGAGTGTCTCCAGAGATCGTGAAGTGTAACTTGTCTGACTTAAACAGCAGGGCTCATCTCGGAATGGTTCCTAGTTATTGCACTCTGATACACAGTGAGCGCTGCACTGAGTTTCCTTTCCAAAACTACCTTGCCATCCAAAAGGAATTACTTACAGAATAAAACCCCACACTGGGTTTAAGCTTGCAGTAGTCGTGGAATTTTCCTGGGGTTAGAACTGCTAGCCCAGGTATTACTGAGTCTGTTAGCTCTCTCTGGGCTCATGTTATATTCACAGAGTTGGGTTCCCCTAACACCAGGGCGTGAGGGTTGGTGTTTCAGACTGGTACATTCTCTTCTCTGTGGTGCCCGTCTGTTTCTCTGTGACTTTCAGCTTTCCTATCACCCGTCTCTTCATTCCTGGAGCTCTTTTCTTTCTCGTTGAGTATCTGTTTTCCAGCTGTATTGATTCCAGGTCATGGAGAAGCTACGAACTGCTGCTACCACTCTGCCATCTTGTCTCCATCTCTAATTCCTATTATTGTTACATTTTGGCTTAACTTATGCAACCTGACATTTTTCTAATTTTATGTGTTTCTGGGGGATGTCTGTAAGCAATCTATAATCTTTATTACAAAATGTGAAACATAACCGTTAAAAGTAACCTTATTTTTCTCGTGTCCCTTAACTTAAAAACTATTTTCTTTTAGTTCTTCTGTAAGTCCAACTTCTTTTGTTTTATGTTCCAAATTTTGAAACTGCTCATATAAATGTAATGAAAGTTTAAAATTGTTACTAAAAATTTAGAACTTGATTCTAAAAGGTAATTGGCTCTCATCTCCTCTGTGTACTTAGGTGGCCAAGACATTTTTATGACAGAAGAACAGAAGAAATACTATAATGCAATGAAAAAATTAGGAACTAAAAAGCCTCTGAAACCAATTCCAAGGCCTCTGGTGAGAACAATGGAATGATTCTAAATATGTAGCTCTGATAAGCAATTATGAGCAAATCAGATTTCTGCAAAGCCATCCAAATTTATAGAAGGGCTTTGCAGAAATGTTAAAATTATCTAAAAACTCAAGAACCCAGATACACACAAGTCCTTAAAAATTTAGGTATTCGTATTTATGAATACCAGCCTGGAGAACAACTTTAATTTTTGGTGAACAAACAGTAGGTGCTCAGTGTATACAGCTTGCCATGACACAAACTTAGTAGGTTGTTTGAACTTAAGTGGTTTAAAATGTATTTACATTGTCCTTTACAAGTGTGAAAGCAATGACTGGTGTGAGGGCAAGGGTTTGCACACTCATCTCCACTGTGCAAGTCTTGACAACAGCTCTGGGTATCAGCGGGTGGAGGGCTCTTCTGTAAAGCACAGACAGTAAGCCAGTAAGTTAGTGTTTGCTGCCCTGTGGTTTCTGCCTCTGCTTCTGTATTACTGTACTCGGCTCTGATGACAAAGAGCGAGTCAGTGTGATTTTGGTGTAGCACAACTGCGTTTATTTATGGACATAGAAATGTGAATTTCATAGAACTTTCATGTTTCACAAGGTTTATTCTTCTTTTGACTTTTTTCTCTGAACATTTAAACATGCAGAAGCCGTTCTGAGATCATGGGCAAAATGAAGTGAAACTAGAGATTTGGCTGGGTTTCATCTGTGAGTCCTAACTTGCTGACCCTGCTGTCTGCGAATCTGACTTAATCCAGTGCTGTGGGTCAAGACAGAAGTACCCAGTACTGCTCTGTGCTTGAGATTTAACTGGGGAGATGGACGCCCTACTGTATTTGAAAGCATTGGATTGTAAAGTGCAACTGAGCATCGATAGGCCAGAAACCAAATACCTGAATTTTTTGTTGCTGACATGATGCCACCAGTGGAAGATCCCACACGGACCTTACATGGCAGGTCCCAACGTGTGGGCGCACTTAGAATATTATATAAAATTACCTTCAGTCTAAATCTGAGTTAAGACTTCAAATCCACCCTTAGCTCTGTACTTATAACTTTACCTCCCCAGACATTGTTTTAATCTCTAAAATCAAAATACCATATTTTGACCTTTGGAATAAAGAAATAGAAATAGAACATGGGGAGGGAAATCCAGCTGTTCCAGCCTGAGTGCTGATGCGTTTCACTCTAGAAATACAGGAAACAATTTGGAGCCTTTTCTAATTTTTTCTGATGCATCCCTACAAGGTAGCTTCATTGCTCGGATTAAAAATCTGAGAGTCACTGTACATTCCAAAGTGACAAGAAATGCTTTCTAATCATCTAAAGTTTTAGGTAATGTGTGCTTCTGATCTCCATTTGTCTAAATGTTAGAATCAACTAAGCCAACCATTGCCCTGCCATATATTTCCTCTTTCCCTTGTTCTGCCTTCTTGAAGTATCATTTTTGCATCTTTTTGCTGCCTTCACAGATACATTCTCACATAGGAAATGCACTTGACTTTCCAGTGTTTTCCTCTGGTTCCTTTTGCCTTCACAGATACATTCTCACATAGGAAATGCACTTGACTTTCCAGTGTTTTCCTCTGGTTCCTTGATAGAAGCCTAGAGCTCCCAGCTCATAGGGTAAAAATTACTAATGTAAATGTGGCATCCCCTGGAGTTATTCCTGACCTTTGCCTTCTCATGGTCCATAGTCTCATAGTCCCTACTCTTCCTGAGCAGCAACATTCACTCGTGACCTTGAGTCACGTCCGTGTTGGCACTGTTGAACTCACATCTCCGCTCCAGCTTCTGCTCCGTGTACATACTTCTACCTGGTCATGGCCCTCCGATGCTCCACTGGCATCTCTAGCTCAACGTTTTGAGATCAGGTCTCATATGTAGTTCCTCTTTAGGTGGTTAGATGGAGCCACCTGCCAGAAACAATAGCTTCAGCCTTATCTTTCCATAGCTCCCTGTCTTAGTTACTTTTCTCTCATTGCTGAGACCAAATAGTTTAGGAAAGAAAGATTTACTTAGCTCACAGTTTGTGGAGGTTTCAGTCCATAATCAGTTGGGTCCAAGGCAGAGTGGCACACGGCAGACGAACAACAGTTCATGGTGGCAGAAAACAGCACAAGCAACAAGAACAAAAAGGGAGGAGCATGCAGAGAAGACTCTCTCTGTCCCTGACACTATATTAGGCCACACCCACTTAGGTGTAGCACTCACACCCATAGTCGCAGCATTGGACCGTGAGTCATTCACATTTAGAAGCCTGCCTCCCTGACTCCATGAGGCTTTGGGGGGACATCCAGACCCAAACCATAACATTCTCTGCATCCTCCCTGACTACTGTTGCTTCAGCTCCACATTATCTCTTACACCTACCTTCTGTATCTTTACTGTTACCACTACAAACCAGTGCAGTGTTCTGCACAGATTATCTTCATAGACCCCCGGTAGGTCTAAAGATGTATTCTTAGGGGTTCACGAGTTCCCTAAATAGAATAGTGAATTCATGCTTTGACTAAACAATAATATAAAATAATCCTAAAACAATCCATGTATAATCATAAATGCCATCCATTTCTTGTTTTGTTTTGTTTTTGGTATGGGGATCAAACTCATAACTTCATGCTTCCCAGGCAAGTGCTTGAGCTGCTGAGCTAAATCCCTGGCCTGAATGCCATCCAATTTAAGAGTCCAAGTTTGTGTTTAAGGACAGTTCTCACTGTCAAGAACAAAAGTAGTGCCACTATTAAAGAAAATAGTGGAACAACTGAGTCATTTCACTGTGCATGATTGATCAGTCATGCAAACTAGAACTGGAACCTGGACCAGAGCAGCCTCCACATCATAGGCAGCATGGCCATCTACATAGAAGCCAATATGCAAGAACAACATCAGCAATAATATGATACAATCAATTTTATTGTTTCCATTTTCCTATTAATCATTGGATCAGAATCCTATCTAACATATTCTAATAAGAATTTAAAAATTGAATGCAGGATTTTTGTTAAGTATAAATTATAACTGTGATCTGCCAAACAGAGCCTTGGACTTGTTCATTCTATTTTTTTGCAAATTATTTAAATAAGTAGGTGTTTTCTGTATTAATGTTATTGAAATAAAAAATCAGAAACAGGTGAAATATAGAGATCAAGGTTCATGTTTTCAGTATTAAATCCAACATGAACTATTTTATTTCACCAAAATAACATACTCAATCATATCAAAGTTATGTTGCTAGCAAGATTCGTTAATCTATAGTTTGGTTTTGAAGTGAAATTAACATGATAAGACCAAGCACTCTAATTGAAGCTCCTTGTTCAACTAATTAAATTTTATTGAAAATTTAAATGAAAAGAATCAAGAATTTTTTGCCTTTTGAGAAAGGTCTGTATTTTTCAAGAATCTGCCTTAATTGTAAGAAAAACAATTTCTGCTCTATGAATGTTCCATTTTAATGTGTGCAATTTCGTTTTTTTTTTTTTTTTGCAATTTCATTTTTAAAACTCAAAATAATCAACAATCTCTCTCTCTCTCTCTCCCCCTCCCTTCCTCCGCTAGAACAAATGTCAAGGTCTTGTGTTCGACCTGGTCACACACCAGCTTTTTGATGTTTTCGTCATGAGTCTCATTGCCCTGAACATGCTTTGCATGATGGTTGAGACACGACACCAGTCGGATTACACGACTGCGGTGCTTGAATATCTCAACACGGCCTTTGTGATCATCTTTACAGTAGAGTGTCTCATCAAAATCTTTGCTTTGAGGCAGTATTACTTCACCAATGGCTGGAATTTATTTGACTGTGTGGTCGTGGTTCTTTCTATTGTTAGTAAGTAAACTCAGCAGCAGAGTAGCTTTAAAACTGAGAACCATAAGTAAACCTGCAACTCGTACCTTGTACAAGTGTGTCCAAGAAATTCATAAAGCAACAAATTAGACTCAGTGTAGTTTGTGGAAAAAAATGAGTGTATTAATGCTACTCAGGTTGCTAAGAGATACATGTCTTAGTTACTTTTTACTCCTTGCTGAGACAAAATACCTGAAGCCCAAGTTGGGAAAGGAAAGGTTTACTTCTTACAGTTTTTGGAGGTTTCAGTCCACACAGTTGGCTCCAAGGCAAGTGGGCGTGGCTGGGCTGCAGTTCATGGCGGGTGCAAACAGCAAGCCAGAACCAGCAAAGAGCCAGACATGCTTTCTTCCTGCCATTACATTACATCCTGGCTCCACCCCTATGTGGGTGTAGCACTGACACCATCAATCCAAGCACTAGACAATGAACCAATCACAAAAGCACAATGCAAACTCATGAGGCCTGGAGGACACAGACATAAACCATGACAATACAGAACATTTTCCATTCCTTTGTGTACACAACTGAAATAAATTTATTCCATCACGATGTACAAACTGAATATGACTTAGAAGTCATGTGGTGACGTTTGACCTATCCAGGTAAGTCAGTCAAAGTTCTACCTTCCCTGTGCAACTCTGAGTCCTAATGAGCCTCTTTACAGAATGAAGGATTTGGCATTTGGTATGTTTGATTTTCTTCTGTTCAACATCTGCATGGATTCCAGATCATAGTTGCTGGACTTCCCCTCCGTCCTGTACAGGCGCATGGCTCACTAAGATTGGGCTATCAAAAGTATCAGTGCAAGCGAGCAGTATCTTCTCTTTATTTTGAGTCCCATGCTTATTCCAGTCATAGTGTAAACTATGCTTGCATGAACTGCCTTGAACTCATTCATCAACCAGCCTTATCCTATAAGCACTACAACTGTATGTAGGCTACCTAAACGGTGTGGCTTATAGAACAAGTATAGAGGAGAAAATATTATTGCCATATGCCTTTGTGTCTGTGTGTGTGTGTGCATGTACATGTGTATGCTGGGTGTCACACCCAGGACCTTGTACAAGCTAAGCATAAACTCTTCCCACTGAACTACAACCTTAGCACCTGCCATAGACACTTTTATAAAATGCACACACAACTTTGCAATGAAAAGCTTTGGAGTTTACTTTGGAGTTTTTGAAGTCTAATTTTAGCTAAATCATTAATTTGCCTTTTTATAATTATGTCAAACTGCTTAGGAGCTCTTCTAGTTCAAAAAGCAATGAAGAAACGAACACTGATTTCACAAGTGGATGCTTGTGTGCAATCTCAGAAAGGATGCACGAGACACATTAGATTAACATGTTGTGGTTCCTGATGCTGCTGTACCAATGCAAATCTGCCAGAGAGCAAAAGAGTGTTACAGCTCACAGTCCATTCTGGTTTCAAGCCATGAAGTTTGTGCAGACAGTTTGACAGCAGATCTTCCCACATGCTCACAACAGATAAACCTTAATCTTTGCTGGTCAGTTCCAATCACATGCGCTGGTGAAACTGGCAGCAGCAATCGAAGTCAGAAAATGAGTCAAAAATGAGTCAAAAAATGAGTGTGGAGCAGCCCCTCTGGTTACTCAAAGAGCCCCTCCATTAATAGGGAAAAAAATGTGTTCACTCCACTACTCTTTCGAGGCCTCAGCAGGTAGAGTACAGTGTATGGAAACATCTTACATCTGTCCTCTGAACAGCTGCCACAGCACTGCACTTACACATACTTAATAGCACTTGCACCCATGTCTGAGAAAATCCACACATTAAGCCAAATCCTACTTGCCAGTGTGAGCCAAAGTTTATGTCCCTTGGCCAGTACCGCCGCCATCTAGCTCTTAGCTTTGATGTTCTCCCAAGCTCCTGCCCAAGCTTTTAGAATATTGTATCTTAAAAGTATGGGTTGATGTCAGCTTCTTTCTATTAAGAGTTCACAATCCAGTTGAGGTATTAAAATTCACTTATTTTAAAATGTCAGAAAAAGATAGTGAAAGTAACTGAATAGAGCTCAATGAATGAACAGTTTTGTGGGCTCAATTAATGAAAAAAGTATCTGAGGAGAAGGTAGTGGGCCTTCGGGATGGATGCTGCTGAATTGGCACTTAATACATTTCACATCATGCCAAGGCCGACTGTCAGGAAATGAGTGAATTGAACTTTGGCACAATTGGGCCACCAGTGAGGTATATCCACTAGTTTTCTTTTGTCACTAGTGACGGCAGAAGCATTTTCACTGCCCGTGACCCTTAATGACCTTAGAGGACTCTCAGAACAAGAACAAAGTTGTGTCTACACGAGGCAGGCATGTCCCAGCCATTCTATAATATTTGGGCCACGTGTGAGTTACTTTAAATCCTTGTATCAGCTGGCAGTAGGATGGGCAATGAGAGAGAACAGGTGACATTTTAGGCCAAATATTCAACTATTTGCCCAAAACTCTGCTTGAAGTGTTGTGATTTCTGGGATGTCCGCAACAGAGAAAGTATCTCTCAATTTCACACTTTAAGCTTTGTGAGCTTGGACTCAAAAATTGTTGGAGCGAGCACATTGACAAAGGTGAGATTCCTAAGCAGCTTTAGCTTGGAAAGAAGCATCCCAATACCATGATGCCCTCCACGCTACACAGACAGTATACCTTTCATCAGGTTAGCTTTCTCACCTGTAGCAGGACTGTGTGCAAATTTCTGTAAACAAATTAAGAGCTTGTCCCTTTTGAGGAACTCTGCATTTAAGGGTTCCACAATTTGAATTGGCAACACAGGCTCAAGTTACGCACTAAATAGCAAAAATTTCTCCTTGCACTCTAAAGGACTCAAAGTATGGTTCATCTATTTACCTTTTCATATGGAGAACTATTGCATTTATTACCCCATAAGTGGCTTTTTAAAATCCTACAGATTATAAACTTTAATTAAGTGAAAGAATTCACAAAATAGCCATTCATAAGCTGAATCCCTTTCCTTGATTATCATCAATGTTTTATGCATTCTATCTAAAGCTGGAAATTATTCCCTATCTTGGAAATTATTTTTCAAATTAAGGCAGCAATATGTATTTTCCTTGATATTAGAATATTATCTTGTGTACAAAGTACTAAATATTAATAAAAAATTGGCTCTATGGGGACTCTGAAGCAGAAGATGGACTGGGTTTGAAATCAGTGTGACTAACAGAAATTCACCAACCCTTCTTCTCCAGGTGCACTGATTACCTTAGCGCACAAGAAGACCATTCTTTTCCCTCCAACACTCCTCAGAATTATCCGCTTGGCTCGAATTGGCCGAATCCTGAGACTTGTTCGGGCGGCGCGAGGAATCAGGACTCTCCTTTTTGCTCTAATGATGTCCCTTCCCTCGCTGTTCAACATTGGTCTTCTACTCTTTTTGGTTATGTTTATTTATGCCATTTTGGGTATGAACTGTTTTTCTGAAATGGAGAAAAAAGGTGAAATCGATGACATATTGAACTTCGATACTTTCGGTGGCAGCATGCTCTGTCTCTTCCAGATAACCACATCCGCAGGCTGGGATTCTCTCCTTAACCCCATGCTGGGACTTAACTCCTCAGGGAGACCTTACCTCTCTGCCATAGCCATAACCTACTTTGTCAGTTACATCATCATCTCCTTTCTCATCGTTGTCAACATGTATATTGCTGTAATTCTAGAGAACTTCAATGTAGCCACGGAAGAAAGTGAAGAGCCTTTGGGTGAAGATGACTTTGAAATATTCTATGAAGTCTGGGAGAAGTTTGACCCCAAAGCAACACAGTTTATCCATTATTCTGCCCTTTCTGACTTTGCCGATGCCTTGCCTGAGCCATTGCGTGTGGCAAAACCAAATAAATTCCAGTTTCTGGTAATGGACTTGCCTATGGTGAGTGGCGATCGCCTGCACTGCATGGATATCCTCTTTGCTTTCACCACCAGGGTCCTCGGAGAGTCCAGTGGCCTGGACACTATGAAAGCAATGATGGAGGAGAAGTTCATGGAAGCCAATCCTTTCAAGAAGTTATATGAACCCATAGTCACCACCACCAAGAGAAAGGCAGAGGAAAAGGGTGCTGCTGTTATTCAAAAGGCCTTTCGAAAGTACATGATGAAGACGACCAAATGTGCTGGGGAAAGCAGGCCGCCTTCACCTCAGATGCTTTCCAATGGAGACCTGCCGGGCTCCGAGGTGGTCAAGCGCAAGGTTCATTATGACTGAGTCCCTTATCTGCACCCCTACCTCACAGCCTTACGCCATCCAGCTTCAGAGCTCCAGGGTCCACAGTTTGGTGTATGAATATGCAAGGGAATTTCTGAACTAGCCATTTATTTTTCTGGCTGAAAGATGTGAGGTTTCAGTATTCACTTTAATTCTTGCAGAAATTTAGGGTACGGCTGCCTATTAATCACCGATACTTTTAGTAAAGAAGGAGACCTAAGAATATGCTGCAGAGGACCTCTATGCTTATGTTAGGGTTGAAACACATCAAATTATGTAAAAACAAAACAGTAAAGAAACACAAAATCACATTAAAATGTAAATGGTGTTCCTGTATGTTTCTAAGTACCATAACCAATATCTTCAATGTTTTTCTGATGTCAGTATGTAGTTTGTCACATGTAGCTTTTTCGCATGCCAAGTTAAAATTTAAAACCTCCAATAAAGGAACAGCTCATTACATATGTGTGTGTATTTTATTATTTTTTTAACCAGAATTAAGTACTTTGGGTATATCTCAGAACTAAAGGCACGTTCTTGACTTGTCAGTCACCACCCTGCCTTTTATAAGCTACAATCTGTTATATAATAACTAAGCCTTCAGTTTTACATGTCATTGAGATAGCACATTAATATGTTGTTTTTACCGTTTGATCACACTGGAGATTGAACCCCGAGTCTCTGCCCTAAACTATATCCTCATGCCTTTTTAAATTTTTTATTTTGAGACAGGGTCACTAAGTGGCTCAGACTGGGTTGCAACTTTTGACCCTTCTGCCTCAGCCTCCCAGAATGCTTGGGTGGCAGGCATGTGTGTCGCTAGCACACTGATACTTTGCTCTCGTTTCGTAGTTGTGTGAGTAGTAGTTTGTTGTGGTTCTTTGTTTGGAATGAAAGGCTGGTGATAGCAGCCTGTCTGGTAAGTGTTCGGCATTGACTGTTGAGTTGCAGAAAGCCATCCTTTTCAGCATTCTGATTTCTATGACTTTCTCATGTGGTCAGTGACTGGAACCAGGAGGAACCATGCATGCTGAATTCTTTTTTATTATTATTATTTTATTAAAGACTAAACAAAACAGAAAATAGGTAGAAATAATACATACATTGAGAGAAAAAATAAACAGTAAGAAATCACTAGTTGATGTTTACATATTGTCGTTTTACAAATAGTTCAAGATACAAAAATGGAACATGTAAAGTGGGAATTCAAACAGCGAGGCTGCAAACAGTTCTGTTAACTGTCCAACAAATAACTTAGTAACATGGTTGTCAGTCCTGTACACTTAGCATGCTGAATTCTTGAGAGGAGGCTCGTGAGGGATCCAGCACTCTGTGCTCCTGGAACTAGCAAACAGCCTCCACTTGACTGGCTCAAATTTTAGCAATCAGCACCTTGCATGGAGAGAGCACCACTCAGCACACATGGGCCACAAACTGGGGAGTCATAAGACTTAATGGCTGGCTAGTAACTGGAGCTACTTGAAAGCCCTGCATTCAATTCTGGCTGAATGTCTGCATGAACTGCAGTGAACAACCCAAGTCTATCATGAAGGAAAAGCCAGGAGCAGGGCAAGACTTCCATGAGTATTAGAAACACTGCCTCCTCAGGCATTAAACCAGCAATTAGCCTTTCAGTCCAGAAAGTGCCTGGGTTGCGATACTCGAGGTTTAGAGAAAGACCTCGCAGGCTCAGCCTGGGATCCCGTACTCAGATGAGTGGGAAGAGCAGGTGTCTGGGGCCCGAGCCTCTGGCCTGTGCTCCAGATGGAAGCATAGCCCCTGTGACCCTGTAATGAGTCGGAGATCGTGTTCAATGACTAACCGTATCCAGGCCTCAGTTTCATGAATGTTCTGGAGCACTGATTTAAAAATAGTAATAAAATACGTATGGAGTGACAACTGTGCATTAGGCACTGGCTGAGAATTTGTCCTAAGTAATTTCATTTGAGTGTGTAGCAAACCAGTATATAAGAAATGTCCCTTCAAAAATGAAAAGACTGAGGCGAAGAGAGGTTGGGCGACTTGCACATACTCACACGGCTGGTAGAGACAGTTTTGAGGAATTGGGCAGGACCAGGAAACTTCTGAGATTGACTGCAGGGCTCTGCACCAGCCTGCGAGGGCTGCTGGTTCTAAAGCCACAGCCAAGGTCTCCTTGAGGCATTGGGAGGACTGATGGCTTTCCTAAAGGATGCCTCAGGGTTTAATTGCTGAGAACTGTATACGTCCTTACCAAGTTCTCTTAGAAAGATGACTCATCATTCCTACATGAGCACCTCTTTGCTGGAGGTGGAGGAGGATCTGGAAGGATGTGATCTTGCCCATTCCAGACTAATACTCAGTGATGTGGATGCGATCTGCTTGGTGCAGAAGCCCAGCTGTCCCCATGTATGTCTCTCCACCCTCACTCAATGGTTTCATTTGGCCAAGACTGAATTCCTGGAGCCGTCTCCTGGGAGGCCCACAGCTTCTGCTCGAGGTTGAATTACACTTCCCTCACTAGATGGTAGCAAGTATCCAAAGTGTTCTTTTCTAAGAACTGCACAGCAATCTCTGTGAGCCTGGCACTTGGAGAGCCAAGGCAGGCAGCAGTGAATTATTCAAATGTTGGGTGAATGCCAGGAAGCTCACCCTCTCCAGAGACATTTCTCACTGTGCAAATGTCCAGGACACCTGAAGAGGCAGCTCTGTTGGTCTGAACTCTGCTTCCTGTAGCCTCACTGAATACCTATGGTAAACAACGTTAAAGGTGCACAAAGCCCGTCACCTGTCCTGAAACCACTTCTCCAAGAAATTTAAGCCCTCTTCAATTTGATCAACAGTCATGTTCCTGAGAACCAAGAGAGTGCTCTGTGTTAATTACTTTTCTCGCATTGCTAAGACAAAATACCCAACATCCAAAGTTAAACTCACAACAGTTGAATCATTCTGCTGGGCTCTTTGCCCTTGATCCTTGACGTAAACTTGCCTAAAAGGTCCTAACAGTAGCCGAGCCACCACCGCAACATTAGATTGCCTTAAAATTTCCTCGTCAGGGGCTGGAGGTTTAGCTCAGCGGCATAAGCGCCTGCCTTGCAAGCAGGCAGTCGTGAGTTTGATCCCTGGTACCGATAAAAAGGAAAAAGACAAAAAAAAAATTTCCTCGTCAGGATTAATTAGCCTGCCACCTTTAATCTCAGTCTCAGGCAAAGTGTCTGCACATGAGCAAAATGCAGACAAACCTTCTGCCAAGCCATTCACATATGTCTGGCTTTCAGCAGCCAATACAGTCCTTCTTCCCAGAAGAAACCTCCCAAGCCTGGCCTTCCCGGGCATCATTCCTATCAGGATTCTGTTCTGCCAACCTCTGACCAGATTCTCCCATCAAGTACAGCCCAAGGTGTTCCAGCTCTAGTCTTCAGCTGGCACCTCCAAACCTTTCCTAACCTTTCCCCTTCCCATAAGCTATTCCCAAAGGCTTCTGAACCACATGGCGAGGTACCATCACAACAATGAGCCTACTTCTCTGGTACCAAATTCTGTTTTTGTTACTTTTCTCTCATTGCTAAGACAAAATACCTGACACCAAAAGTAAAGGGCAGAAGGCTTATTTAGCCCCCAGTTTGGAGAGGTTCCAGTCCGTAATCAACTGGTCCCAAGTCAGGGTGGCATGAAGGAGAGACATCGCAGAGGAGAACCAGTTCACAGCAAGCAGAAGATAATGAAAGTAAGCAAGCAAGGAACAAGACAAGCCTCTCTGTCCCTGATACTGTATCTAGGCTACAGGGATTAGGGTGCTGCCAGCCAATCAGTGAATTCATTTAGTAATCGCTCAGTCTTAATCTTGCATTGCACCATGAGTCAATCACTCTAGATTCAGCCACCTGATAAAGCCCCACCTGTGAGACTTTGGGGGGACATTTAGATACAACTAGAACATAAGCCATGGGAAATGGTGACTCAAGTGACCCTTCACCTCAAGAGGAAATTGCTAATTAGGAAGATACACAGACAAGCGTCCACATGATGACAGCACACTGTAACAAATGCCACAAACCAGAGACAGACCTCTGCTCTGGGGAGGTGAGTGGAGGAATCCATGGGAGAGGGACATCTGAGGTGAACTTGATGGAGATGCAGAATTTTGACAAGTGGCTGTGGTTCTGAAGGGAGATCGAAATGGAGGAGTAGAAAGTGTAAGAAAGTTTTAGTTACCCAACTGACTGGGCTAGCATCGGATTTTAGAAATAAACTGTTCTTGACAGCCTCAAATGCCAACACAGGAAGTTATGAAGAGCTAGAATTTGTCACGTACTTACTCTGTAACAGGCAATCCTTCACCAACATTAGCTCATTAAATCTTCATAAAAACTCTGCTAGGTGGAATTATGTTTAACCTGAATTAGGCAGATAAGGAAACTGAGGTCACACAGAATTCAGATGCAAGCATGTGGCTTGAGGCTTTAAGCCATCCACTGTGACATCTCCCCGCCCCACAGACTACAGGGGCAACAAGGGGAAGTTTAAGGGAGGATGTGGAGTCTGTCTGGCAGTGCTGAGGAGCTCTAGACCTCAGTTTCCTCCCTTCGTGGAGAGACACTGACGAGTGTTTTAGTGGTGAGGAAAGACAACAGGACAGAGTGTGTAAGGTGGAAAGGTAGAGAAAATGCCATCCTGTGGCCCCGGCAGAGAAGGGCACTGAGCCAGGAAGGACACAGGGCAGTGCGGTGTGACCATAAGGTGCACGTAGAGGAAGAACCTGGGTGCCTTAGGATTTTTGAACAGGGTAACAAGATAGGTGACAGGGCAAGTTACCAAGCTAATGAGTGTAAGTATGCAGAACCAGGTTTTGTTTGTTTCTGTTTGTTTGTTTTCATGTCTAAGGAGGAAAACCCAAAAGTTAATTCACTGTTCAGTGCTCTGAATGACGAATCTCTAGGCAGACCTGGAAATTAAAGACAATGAATGGACGGGCGTCCTCACTGCAAGGGTGACACCTGAATCACTAGGAGTGGATGAATTCCTAGGAGAAGCCCTTGAGGTCTCGGAGGCTGTGGACTTGCCCTAACAAAGTGGAGTGAGACAGCTCAGGGCGGGGTGTGGAGAGAAAAGTAAACACCACAGCATATGTTACGGGCGCAGAGCAGGTTTCATGGTGAAATTCATAGTCCACAAGAGGAGCTATAGAGCGCAAGATCTTCATCTTCCTCCCACCCCAGTAAGTAGTGTGAGGAGCCAGGGCATGCCATCGTTATTTCCAGAAATGATCCTGATCCTGCCTTGATCTGCCCTTCTATTGGGAAAGGATGAAAACGTGTATTACTTATAAACAGTCAGGTTCAGGAGCTGGCTGTGCTGGGGAATAGTCCTGCAATGTCATCTACTGGCACCCAGTTCCCCCGAGGAAGCTGAAATACTGCACAGCTCCCTTCCTCACAGATTGGGAGCCATTGGTTGCAGAGAATTTGTTGCCTGGCAACTGA